ATAGAGGCGGAGTATGGGAACGTCTCATACGTTCCGTAAGGCGGATACTAAGGTCGACAGTAAATGAGCAGAGTGTGAACGACGAAGAACTAGTAACGTTTCTTACGGAAGCAGAACGGGTAATGAATGGACGCCCTATTGTGCCCAATCAAACCAACTATTTCGACAAGCCGGCACTGACGCCGAATGACTTGCTCATTCTCAATAATAGGGTACACGGAGTTGTGCCGGAAAGTATAACAGAGAGGTATACGAGAGGTTGGCAGCAGGTGAACTACTTGACTCAAGTATTTTGGAAGCGCTGGGTGAAGGAGTACGTACCTCTGCTTCAAGAGCGAACTAAGTGGCAGAAACCTCAGAGGAACTTCAGGAAAGGGGATGTAGTCCTGGTGCAATCAGGTGCGTTCTCTCGGGAACAGTGGCCCGTAGGCGTGGTTGATGAATGTGAAACGTCGGGTGACGGTTTAGTTAGGACCGTAGTTGTACGCACACGAGATGGTAGGCTTAGGAGGGATGTGCGTAAGATCGGTTTGATAGAGTGTTGTGAGTAGGGGTGGTGGAAAGAGATGGGAACCGCGCGCTCAACTCTCCGCAGGTGGGAGATGGGTTTTCGAACTCATCGCATACAGAGAGACCACTGGGAGTTGGCGCGTGAGCAAGTTCCGTTTGGCGTACTGCTGTAAGTCCACTCGGAACTTGGGGTAAGTAAAATATTTGAGCCAGGAATGACCATAGCTTGATGGAGGAAAATCCACTGGGATTTTGGGTGGCGGTGTAGAAGACAGCTTGCCAACAGTGTGCTCCCGTTTACAACCCCAAGTGACAGCCAATCCCCATATTTATTCCCCTTGACCAGATGAACTGAAACCTTCTTGTTTTACTGAACTATTTTTATAACTCTTACGGACTTTGGTCGGACATTGTGATTTCGCGGTTGCTCGCCGTCGATATCTGTTTGGTTGTGACGATACCGATTTTGAGGCGTAGTCCTCTCCGCTTTATCCTTAGGCTGGTAATTGTACCGCCTTATTTTTGTAACCCTACGGTATCTGCAGAGGAGAATCCGTTGAGGTTGTTGAATATGTGCTCTCAGGAAGCTGACCTTCCTGATAAAAGGCGACTACGTTTGGGCTGAGATTCAGTAAAAAGGTCTCTTATGACCTAATACTGAGTGAAACCAGTCGCAGGACCAAAAAATAATTCGTCATCACGGAGTGGCCCAACGTACATAGTTCGCGTCGTTACGTTATAGCTCATGCAATATGTATTTACAATAACGCTAGGCGAGACACATGCACTACCACAACGCCTGTTGTTCCTATGGTACCTCTGAGTTTCGATGACCCGTTGAGGCGGTTAAAATGGGATCCGGCGTGCATCGGCGAATGACGTTTTAAATCCACGGTAGTCCACGCTAATACGAAGGCTGAAAGACAAACGATGGACCTCATATCCTCTGGAGATCACGTGAACCCTCATAATCAGCAACATAGGCTGGATCTGACAATATGGGGCCACATGGAGCCTCAATGACTTGTTACTCGTGCACAGGTTCGAGCCAGGTTCGGCTAGTTGCCTTGTGCTGATGACACGAGCTGCGTTTGTTGTAGGTCAATTAAACTAATTACCTTTTTTACGATAGGCTTTCCTGGCTGCCGTCACTCCTGGGAGCCCACTTCGTGTGACAGTCCGTATTGGTCTTTTCTTCCTTTCTCATGATGTACGGAGTGATTCGCTGCTTTTGGCTTCCGCTTTGTGCCCATATCAATTTTGTTGTTTAAGACTGAATGCAAATCTCTCTTTGACCTCGTCAGCGCGCGTCTGATTTAAATCAATTTTCAATGCCTTGTGGCCACCTTACTTTGAGTCAGTGTGAACCGTATGCAGGCGTACTGCTTCCTGTCTAGATATATGTACAGGATCCATTTGGGAATTGACAATTATTTACTCGGTGTATGGAAGCCGGCATCCCACGATCTCATATTTGAAAGACTTTATTATCTTATTATTACGCTTATATTGCCACCTAGACATTTGGAATTCTGCACATAACTCAACCCGGCCGATGGTTTGCTTGAAACAGCCCTACCCTAACAATGGTTGTCGAATGCATTTCATAGACGTGGACATTGCTGCCAGTTACTATGGCTCAATACTTACGATGTCATATAGATCTACTTGCAAAAAACGGTTCGTCCTACCAGCTCAAATCACTTAGAATTTATTGCGCTCGATCGATTCCTAGATCGTTGGATTTCAAGCGTTTAAAGCACATTCTGACAATAACTGGCACGCGTTGGTAGACGTCATTTGGTATTTTTTATCGTGAGGATTCCCGTGTATTGTGTCCACCAGACAACCAAGACGTGTTTCCACACCTACATATTTAGCCATAATGACAGGGGACAAAGTTTTAAGGGGTAGACAGACTTCTGCGGATTTTAGGTCGACGATCTTGTTGTAAGCTCTGGCGCTTTGTACCTTTGTTTTACTTCTATTATAACACTACGTATTTCATCAATTGCATGATCTTTTTTGTTTAAATACGAAAAACTACAAAAACGCGCACTTGTGCAATTTCACAGAATACAAGTGTGGTCACGTTCTTTGACTCTCTCTTCTGATTTCGCTCGCGCTTGCGGCGGTCATTCGCTAGTCTCATGTGCTAACTCTGGTACTGAAACATTTCAGACATCTTCGGGATCTATTATATGTGGGAACTGTTCAGAAGAAGACCTCTGCTTGCTTGAACAAGAATGAAAATTTTGCTACAATTTTGATAAAACATCTGGTAGCTGGGGTTATTTATTATTGCACAAGCTGCAATGATGACCGCTTGGGGGTTTGTCACCCAGTAGATCTAGCAGCGTTTATGTCGGGCGAGTACTCATTGCAGGGAGGGTCGTTGCACCATGGCGTGTTAGTGTACTCGCCACCTCTCCAGTGGCACGGGTGCTTGCCCATCTGGTTCTAGGTATTTCAGGAAACCAAAAAAGTGCCGTTGTTTTTTGTCTGTACCTGGGCTGGACTTGTCTTGGTTGTCACCTGTCTCGAAACACCAAGAAATACAAGTGAATGACAGTTATCTTTTCGTTTGATCTAATATATATATATATATATATATATATATATGTATGGTGCTGTCTGAAGGTACTATGCGAGACTCTTGGCAAACTTCGACGTGCGAAGAATCGCCACCTTTGTCTTAGTTGGTTTTCCCCACCCCAAAACCAATTCACCATCCAGACACAACACATACGTTCTTCCCTCTTGTTCTCTGAAGCGATCATATACACACAAGATATAAATTCCTCATCATTTCCTGTATGCCAGTGGTCACAGCTAGAGCCTACTGCTGTTTTTTGCCATGCACCATTCGTTTCTTGGAGCTGACGGCAGTGACTCGGTGACTGGAGACCCTTACTCTTACCTTCCTGCTAAATTGACGTAGAAAGTTTCAGTTAAACTACGGTCCTTATCCACTGTCCCGGAAATTGTTGCCTGGCCAATTATTACTTGTATACTGTCCCTGTACACATTAACTCCCTATTTGCACAACGGAGATCCTATGGTAGGATTCTTTTGGCAAGCTAAACACTACTGCTATGTAATCGTCCATTCCAGCCAGTCCGACGGCTAGCCTCCATTCTAGCGACCTCGCAACAAAGCCCTCACCTTCCGAAAATTAGGCACCTACCCTACCCCCTCCAGCAATGGTTTTCTGGGTCAGCAAACAAATCAGCCTTTTTCTGGGTACATTTAGTGTGCTATTATCACCTTTTACATTTTTTTCTGTTGACGCTGTTTTATCTGGTGCCTCTTAGCACTCACCAGACGATACTGCCTCATCCTATTCCATTCTACTCTTACATCTTCCCAGGGTTCAATCTTCGGCTGCAGTTGCACAGACACCCCGTACAAACGCCATTCATTCAATCTGGCTCGTCCCCGATCTACAGTAGCATGTTCCTCCAACTGAAGAGAAATTATCCGTGACCCTGCATCGGCCTCACTCCATCTGCTCAGCCCCGTTGCCTACCCCAGACCCAGCAGTCTCGGAAATGCGTATCCCCTCTCCCTTTGACTGCCGCTACGGGGCTGTCCATAAACCGAAGCATGTCAGTGTCATACCCAGTGTGGTGGTACTCCCGCAACTACTTTCTTCAGAATCCCGACCACGACTCGTCACCCACTTGAGCAGGCAATTTCAACTACGAGCAAATTTTCCACCTGGCCACAACCGCCTCTGGGATGAGTTCATTCAAACCCGATGAAACTCTCGTTAGGATTTGACAAACGTGGTTTTCTGCTGCAATTTCGGTTTGCTTCTTCCACAGGCTCAATTCCATATACGGTGTTCGTTTGGCCCTATGCATTAGCACTCCCCCCTGTCAAAAATATTTCTTGCACTTACTTCGCTAAAATAGCGGCACCAGTCCATTTAGATTCAGGCTAAACCATATTTTCGAGACAAAACTTGCCAATTGTTTCTACCTCGATTAATTCCATCCTCATCTTTGCTTGTTGTGAATCGGACCATTTACTCAACCGCAATCACGGCCAGCAATGATTTTCACTTTCAGTTCGTTTTAGCCGGCTTCATTTTTGAACTAGTCGGACCTCATGCCCATTGTAATTTTTTTCCCGGTTTGTGCCATTGCGATGACTTTTAATGTAAAAAGTATGCCTCGTCGGTTGTACAATCCTCTCCGTTGTGTTGTTGCCTGCCGCGTGCAGGTTATAAAGACCCCATCATGCCTCAATCAGCATGCTCACTACAAGTTTAGGAATGAATCTATTATTATTTTCTCATCAGATATTGCTCACTGTTTATGAGATTTTTCTCGCACTCCCCAGTACCATCAAACTTCCCCAATCATGCTTTATTCTGACTATAAACTTACGATCAACCCTGAGATTATGCCACCCACAAGTTGGGAATCAACATTATCATTACACCCATTCACCCACGAAGTCGTGGCACAAAAGGAGGACAGTAGTCACAATGGTGGACGTGCTTTGCGCTTTAGAGGATCGACACCTCCAAATCCCAACCTGTCTACTCCCATCCCTGCCAAATATCTATCCAATATCCAGCGACGGCACAGGAGCTTGTTAAAAAAAGACTGACCATTAAGTGCTTCACCACCTGACGCGTCGTAGTCCGCACCAGTGTTCTTCGCAAAGGTGGGTGTTGGTGGCTGCAAGCAGACCACCTCCATTTGAATGTCGTTACAAAAGTATATTCTAGCTTCCCTGACTAATTCGCGCTGGTTGCCCACCTAGGACCTCGCTGTCGAATGACTGAAAGCTGAAGTAGACAAGCAAGGCAGACAGGCGATATCCTGCAGGCTCTTACTAAGACTGGGAATCTCAAATTATGCCACTTGGCATCATTATGCGACCCACAACGGTGCAGATCTTCTCTTTTGATCTAATTTCCGTGTGGTTTTTGCCTGCCTGAGAGATGTCATATTGTTCGGCCGATTTCCTTAGGTCCCCACTGCCACCCTCAATCAAGTTCTGGAAATACCGCAAGGCTGAACTTGTCTTAAAACCACTGAAGTATTGGTTTTTCTAGGGGAACGCAGCGTTTTGTAACGTACCACTTTAGCAGGTGTTACGCGCAGATCACATGAAAACGAAACCCATGCCAAATTGGTTGGAACCAAAAACAGCTGGGGAAGTTCGCAGTCTTTTGGGTTTTGTGCAGTGCCATTGTAACCCTCCTCAAATTTAGTAGACGGGATCTCATTCAGTTGAACCTTGTTGAGGAACTTGAGTAGGCACTTTTGACAAGAAGCACTGGATGAGATACAAAGGAGGCCTGGTGAATCACCCTCGTAGCACTCGATCTATTAGACCTGGCACGATCCTGCACCTTACACACTGACGCACTCGACCGGCATTTTTATCTATCTTATTGCATTGCAACGACACGGTCCCAAGAATTTTGTTGTCTAAGGCACGGGGGTTCTCAGAAATTCCATTGCCTCAAAAAGATGGCCGTTGGCTGGCAAGAATGCCTTTAATAATTGTCTCTGTCCTTCATACACCTTCCAGGTAACTGTGATATCCAAAACGCATATCAGGGTCCCCAGCCGGAGCCACGCTGACTTCCATTCCCGCAAAACCATATAGTTACAGCTGGTCACCCTGGCTAACGCAGAAATTCGCCCGAAATTCAGAAGAATTTGTTGGTGGCCGAAGTGGAAAAATTTGACTGAAATAGAAGAATTCACCGGACCAATCTACGATGCGTTTTACCCGTAGACACAATGTGGATTTTATGTTTGCAGTACGGCTGGGTAATAGGAGAAGTTAGGTTGTCCTGAAGGTGCACGTAATTTGAAGGCTTGCGCGACTTTACAGAGCGCTTGGTTGTCCGTGAAAGAACAAGGTGATGTAAGATACTCGTGACAGGTTCTGGTCAACCGCACTGGTAATAGGTGCGCAGAGCTACTATAGCCTGAGCAAGTACTCCGACAGAACCTGAGGTTTTGCTGTCCCAACTAACTAATGGAAATTAACGTCACGTGACCCTATACTCAACATGTCTAAACGAAAAAACCCACTGGAGTTCTGGTTAGTCATTTAATCTATGATGTAGTAGCTGAAAGTGGGCGATCAACTCGTCCGCGGTAGCAACCGTCAGTTGGAGGCGCTTGCAGCTCCATAAGGGTTCTCCAGGACAACTTCATTCCGGTCAGAGGAGTATTTTCGAGAACAAAGTTTTGTCTAGTAAGAAATATTTAATGCGCTATGCAATTTAGTGTACAGTGACAAGACTCCGGCAGCTGTCCACCATTCTGATGGAGGTGGACCCTTAGAGAAGAACAATTAAGCGTTAAAGAACCTATTGAGAACGGTTGTAAAAAAAACTAACGCCAGAATAAAAAGCTGAGTCAAACAACCATGGCCCACCTAAGCACAATTCTTAGTTCAACATGATATGACCGAGATTCATTGGCATGTAACGTGTGGTGTGGCTGTCCAGAAGACGAAATTTAGAAAACCGCAGGTAGTTGGTGACAGAATTCCAACTCGTATTGTTATCGAGGTTCCGATTGCAACTGAAGGGCTTCCCCAGGAGCGGAGTGGCCTATCGGTATTAGAGAAGGTAATGACAAAGTCTCTTCATTCTATGGGTAAGCTGGCGAGAGAAAGGCGCAGATGGTAGTTTGTATCAGGCAGCTGAAACCCACCAGACTCGACGGGGCAGATGGCACCAACGAACAACCGAATAATGTGAACGATTTGGGCGCCAAAAAGGAGGTCTGGAGTGGTGGGGAATAACCAAGACACCAAGTTGGTATCTGATGGGTGGTAAATCTCCCTGGTCCAAATGTGGCCTTTGTGCTCCATACGTGCGTCCCCATGTTCGGTTTTCTCTACGCCAGCACTTCAAATTGGGACGCTTCATCTTCCACGTTGAATTATGAATGAGGCGACTCCAAACTTGACTTGCTAAAAATGTCACTCCTATGTGATCTCATGATACATCGGTGAAGCTACTGCTGTAAAACTGTCTCTTTGAGTCAATCAACGTTTTCCGCCGCAAAGTCTAAAGTATGCGCGAGTGCTTCTGGTGAAAATAAGACATTCACATTAGACAGAAAGCGGCTTTGTATCAGGAAATGGGCCTACTGTGAACCCGAAAAAGCCCTTTTTCTTGTTTTAATAGCCTTTTGGGGAGGTGAAATGCCATGTCGACTCTGCATAAAACACTGCATTCGTGGACGGAATAAATCGAAATTGCACCGCAACAACGAGATACTTCAGTCCAAGTGCATGATTTGGCCAATCAGAAAAAGCGCATCCGTGGCGGTCAATGTCACCAGCTGTTTTAGCTTGGCGGCAGGTGTCTCACTGTACGCGATGATACAGTCGACCACATGAAGGAAATAGTCGCCTTCCGATCGACTGAGGCTTAGTGCGAAAGTAAGACACAAAACTTACCCCCAATGATTGTCTCTCGCATTGCTATCTGGAGGTACTGCACACATGCCAAGCAGCCTACTAGTAATGATTTGTTGCGTTCTGTTACTACATTGGCGACCTCAGCTAGTCCTTGGTTTCATGGTCATCTAACAAAATTTCACCCTCCCCTGAGTTTATATGAATTGCTGTCACCCTCTGTTAATTTTTTTATACCGGACATCATTTTACCTGATGCCCCCTGACACTCACAAGACGCCGTTTCTCTAATCCTATTTCCTCCCCATCCCCACTCATCCTCAGCCTTATTCTGTCAATCTCCTCGTTTAAACCAGATCTAGCCTCCACGGAAACGCATGTACACTAACCGATTGCGGTAAACTTGTGAACCGTTACGAGGCTGTATAGAAACTGGAGTAGGTCAGTGCAAATTTGCCATGGCACTGCCATACCCAGTCTGATGGCACCTAAGGAACTGTTTTCTTCCTGCTATCAACTCCATCTGTCGCCCACTCAAACGATTATATACCGTTGTTCCAGGCAAGCTGAATTCTTTACAGGTCCACGGATTCACGGATTGATACACAAGATCGAAGTTTTGCTCAAGTTTCCTGGGTCGGCTTTGATATTGTCGGTCAGTGGCTGTCGTTCACCTGAAAGGTACACGTGAAAACAGGGTGCAACATTGTTCTTTATGTTCTCAGCGCAGGGCAGCATGCTTGCCAGCGCGAGGATTTGGATAAATAAATGTCTAATAGTGCTTTAAACTGGGTTCTAGAAGGAGCGTGGACAACCGTCGGAAAACGGTCATTCCACGCATTTACCACGCGAAATGAGAAAAAATTTTGTCTAATGGATGTAGATGCTCTGAGCTTGGAAATTTTCTTACCATGTCCCCGCCGTGTGTTTGCTGGGTCAACGGTAAAAGTCCTTCTGGGAAAGATTTGTTCAAACAGGGCGTAAGTAAAAATTAGGTCCCCTCTCTGAAGGCGACGGTACTCCAGGGGAAAGAGATCAAGCATCGCGAGACGCGTTTTGTAGTCCACGGATTTGAGGCCGGCAACCATTCTAGTG